CTTTTCATCCTGTGAAATTCTTGCCCATGTTTTCCCGCAAATCCTCCTTAGAGCATCCAGCCAGTGAATGTAGACCAATGGGTCAAGTCAAGGCAAACCACATTGATTTGGTATCTACTATGTGCTAGGCACTGAACTAGCCACTGAGATTGAAAGAAAAGAGGAAAAGAAGTTAAAAATAAAAACAGTCTCTATTCTCAAGGAACTCACAATCTAATGGGGAAATGACCTGCAAAGAATTATATCTAAATAAGATATAGTTGGCATAAATTGTAGATAATCACACAGAAAAGGCACTAGCATTAAGCGAAATCTTTTAAACATGACTGTAATAGATACATTTTGTTTTGACAACATAATAGACACTTTCCAACAAACATCCAAATAAGAGTGAGATGCACCATGGTATAAGAATGGGGCCCTGAACTCAGAACCAAGAGAATCTGGGTACTCTGTCTCAAATACTTATCCCTCCTCCTGCCAAGAGGCTTTTTGAGATCCTGCTCATGGTGGGGGGAGGGGCAGTGAAGGGCGAAAGCTAGAGTTCATGCCCAGTCAGGAGGCTCCCCATCCTCTCAACCTTCATGCCAATACCCTCTTCCCCCTTTCCTTTCTTGACCAGATACTGAACTCCCACCTTTCTGTGCCAGAAGGAACCCAGGATCCCTTTCCCATTCTCACCTTGAGACCCACGACCTGCTTTCCAGTGGGAATGGGCAGTTTCTGTGGGCCAGACACTCAAATGCATCCTAGACTTTATTATCAGCTTTGTGGTGTGTCCTTACTACCCTGAAACTGAACTCTTCTACATGTGTTGTGGTCCCTAATCATATGTGGAGCACTCTGAGGGCAGGGGTTGGCTTATTTCTCTGTTTTCTTAACACTTGGCAGGATGCTTTGTAAATAGTAACTAATAAATGCTTTCTACATCTGCAAAATGGCAGTGGGGTTGGCACTGATGACCTTTAAGATTCCCTATACCTTTAAATCTATGATCCTATAAGCCTAAGCCCCACCCCAAAAACATTCCCTGAAAGCAGTTAAGTAATACAGCCCAAGAGAATGGTTACCACTGAAAGTTCACATGATGCTATTTTAGTGTACCTTACCACATGTTGACAGAAAAGATTGTGTGATTGAACTTTAATAATTCGATACTAACATCGTGTTTTGTGCTTCACTGGAGTTTTGTTGTTTTTTTGAGTTTTGTTTATGGAGGCATTGTGGTTCAGTGGTTAGAACACTGGCCTCACAGTCAGGGAGATAGGAGCTGAAGTCCCATCTCTCACACATACTAGCTAAGAGGCCCTGGGAAAGTCACTTAAACTCTCACTGCTTTGGTCAGCTCTCAAAGACTCTGAGAAGATACTGACCTATTGGGGTAGGAGTAATTTTTTTTTTTTTACTAAAATTTCCAAACTACACCAATGAAATCACACGTCCTGGAAAAACAAAACAATGCATGACTGGCATTGCAGTGTGTTCATAGTTCTGTGTACTGTGCTTTCTTTATTATATGTAACTTTATAAAAGTCTTCTGGAAAAAACTTCCTAACAATTGTTATTCAGTTATTTTTTTTCAGTCATGTCTGTCTGACTCTCTATGTCCCCACTTGCAGTTTTCTTAGCAAAGATACTGAAGTGGTTTGTCATTTCTTTCTCCAGCTCATTTTACAGTTGAAAAAACTGAGGCAAACAGGGTTAAGTGACTTGTCCAGGGTTACACAGCTAGTAAATGTCTGAGGCTAGATTTGAACTTGAGAAGATAAGCCTTCTTGATTCTAGGCTCAGTGCTCCATCCACTGTGCCACCTAGCTGCCCGCTTAACAATTACAGCTGTCCAATAGAATAATAAGTTTCCTCATGAGGAAGTGCTTTCATCATAGTGGAAGTCTTCAAGCTTCCAGTGGAAGGCTAGCTGATGGATGGGGCCACTTGAGTCTTTTGTGATGTGTGTTTTATCCAAGTCATTCATAAAAATGTTCAACAGAACAGGGCCAAGCATGGAAGCCTATACACCTCACTGGAGACTGGCTTCTAAGGTGAAAAGTGAATTAATGACTGCCTTTGGCTGTGGCCCCTTAGGCCATCCCAAATGCACCTAACTCTACTATTGCCCAGGCCTCCCTAGCTTTCCCACAGCAATAGCAGGAGAGACTTTATCAAATGTCTTTCTAAAATCTAGATGAACTCTCCACAATCTATGCAATCATAGGCACATAAATCCAGAGAGAATTTACAAGCACTTGAGTTACAAGCCCATTATTTTACAGATAAGGTGACTTGCTCAAGATCACACAGCTCCTATGAAGCAGAATTTGAACTCCCATCCTCTGATTCCAAATTCAACGTTCATTTCCTTCAACAATCTTTATTCATCCTTCTGGTCTACCAACTTAGTAAGCTAGTTTTGAAAAAGTCATAAATAAGATTACCTAGGCATGAGCTTTTCTTGACGAAACTGTGCTGGGTCTTCATGAGTAATTCTCCTATTCCTAAATCTCTCTTTAATAATAAGTTTTAGAATTTTGCCAAAAAAGTATATCAACACCCCCTCTGGTCATACATCATTGTATTTCATTTTTTGCAAATCAAGACATTTTCCCTTCTCCAAACTCCTTCCAACCTCCTATTACTGTGGATTGACTTCTCTGTTCATATGTTGCATTCTCCAGTAGAATGTAAGATCTCTGAGGGCAGGGACTGTTTTATTTGTGTCTTTGCATCTCCAGTGCCTAGCACAATGTCTGGCACAAAGTAGTTGTTTACATGTTTAATCTATATCAAATTGCTTTCTCAAGGAGGGGGAGGGGACAGAGTGAGGGAATTTGGAGCTCAAATTAAAAAAAAATGTTAAAAATTGTTTTTATATATAATTGGAAAAATTAAAATTTAAAAAACAAAAACAGAAATAAAGATTATAGCAGTAAAAATCTGATAAGAAATTTCTCAACCCTATCCGGAAATGCTGTTACTGGAACAATTTCAGGTATCCAGTCAATGATGCAAATAGAAATTACTGTGAAAACATATTAGGAAGCTGTCTTAAGAAGTGTATCTAAACACATTTTTATTTGTCATAGCAGTATGAGATATGTCATACTTCTTTTTTTTATAAATTAGATAGAAAATTACCTCCAAGAAAAAATTGTATTGATAGCATCTCCATAAACTGCACATTGACAATCAAAAACAAGCAAACAAATCAAATAGTTGCTTAAAAAAATGTTTGTCGAGATGAATTCACCAAAATGGTTGCTCAGAAGGAAGTGACATTAGAAGGGAAAGCAAGCTTAGGTCTATTTCAGGTTGGTTAATAAGCATCACTAACATTTTTAGAAAAGTGGGAAAATGAAATCAAAAATCTTAATGAAAGTTGGCTTTACCTTATTTTTTGTATTATTGTTGTAATAAACTCAACTTTCACAATAAAAGCTAACACACAAGTAAATCTATAAATAAGTACTAAATTTAAATTATTTATGTTTGGATACCACAAGAGTCAATTTGATACATTCAATTTAGAGTTAGGCTTGGAATCAGGAAGACTTGGCCCCAAGTCCCATGTCTGACACATAGTGACTGTATGATCCTGGGCAGGTGACTTAATTTCCCTATCCCAGGCAGCTCTGGAAAACTATAAGGTATAAACAAGATCCCAATCTGAATTAATGGAGGGAATGTCCACACTGGGAGTTCATTCTCACATACGAATGAAGTCACAGTTCTATAGTAAAAGACAAAACCGTTATGATGAAAAAAGAAACAATAACCTTTCAACATAATGAAAATTAATTTGCTGAGAGGCAGTGAGAGAACCTAGGTCTCCTTACCCATTAATGACCAGGTTTTTCCCCTAACAGTCTTGTGCTTTTTTCATGAGTGGCACTTTATGATTCCTGTCCTAGAAGATTAGGTTTTGTAATTTGCATGCCAGAGAAATGCTGATAGATGGCTGCCCCCTGTCTTTATGTCTCTGTCCTGAAAGCTAGCGAATTTCCTCTCTTTATATTCAGAGATGTGGGGAAACTGTAGCTTAGTTAGTCTTATTTGAGAATTATCTTTAAGTGGAATCACTTAGACTTCAATAGGAAGGTAGTTCTTACCTCTCCACTCAACTTCCCACTTCCGTGGTGTCTCCTAAGGCCGTAACTAGGACTTGATAAATAGGACTTTGTCTCAGGGCATCAAAATTTAGAGAGCTCTAAAATTTAACACTTGGACTTCTTCAGAAACAACTGATCATAGACCTAAGATCTTTCTATGATTGTAGATAGTAGAAAAAAATTAAAGTAGAAAGCTACCTGTGCCTTGTATTGTTAATAACATTCATCTGTCAGTCATTTTGGTGACCAACTCTCTCCTCACCCCCCACCCCCACTCAGCTAAAATTGTCTTAATTACTTTTATTTTATTTCCACATCATGAATTGCAAAGTTGATTTGAAAACTTTGTGCTGTTCACTAAAATCATCAGTCCCAGCCTTGACTCATTCCTGTCCTGTGCCTTGTTCTCAGCACCTTAATTAGACTAGCATCCTGGTCTTCAGTCATTTTATAGCTCTTTAAATTTACAAAGTGCTTTAATCTTGAAGCCACTAACTAGCTGGAGTGCTTTGTGGTCTAAGAAGCCTGACCTGGGGTGAGGAAATCTCCTTCTGGAGAGGAAATGCTCATTCTGGCAAAATCTGAGAAACAAAAGGGTTGGATTTGGAGTCAGTGACGTCGGAAGACTTCAGTCCCAATACTATCCGTGTGATGTTGGGCAAACCGCTATCCCACTCTGTGCTTCAGAGTCTCATCTGTAAAACGAAGGTGTTGGGCTCTAGGCTGTAGAACCTCAAGCTAGGTCCTAACAGTTCACTCAACTGCCTTGCCTCCACACTGGTTCATCTGTTTTCTTTTAGGTTTCATTAATTCAAATTTAATGCTTGCAGTATCATCAAAGAACAGCTTCTTGAATGGTTGCTCATCATCTGTTGTTTGCTTCTGTTTCCTCAGAATTACGATCGACATTCTGTGATGGCATTAGCGGTCCCAGTGGCAGTGAAATTCCTCCAGAGGGGTAACAAGGAGCTCTGCAGAAATATGTCGAGTTACCTGTCCCTGGCTGCAATCTCCAATCCCGATCTCCTGGCTGATCACACTGATGCAATAGTAAAGAGCATCCTGCAAGGTACAGTGGGAACCCTGAACCTCAGATCATCTTCTTAGGTGGTTTTTCAATAATTGAGTTCTCTGTGCTTGAAAACAATCTGGTCAAGTTGGACAAGGGTTTTATTAAGAGAAACTTTATATGTTGATTAAGTATTGTTTGAAGGGCAGCATAGTACAGTGGAGAGAAGGCTTAACTTGCAGTCAGGAAGAACTGTGTTCAAGTTCTGACACTGACACAAAGCAGTTGTGCTAGAGGCAGCTAGGTGGTACAGTGGATGGAGCCATAAACCTGGAGTCAGAAAGATCTGAGTTAAAATCCAATCTCAGATACTGTGTGACCCTGGGCAAGTCACTTAACTTCTGCCTGCCTCAGTTTCTTCATCTGTAAAATGGGGATAATAATAATACCTGTCATTCAAAATTGTTGTGAGGATCAAATGAAATGACATAAGTTTTTTGCAAACCTTAAAGCATTATGTAAATTCTAGTTAATAATAATAATAATATTTGTAAAAAGGAGCAAGAATTTACCTCTTAGTTTCCTGAAACAACTCTCTAAGACTGTAATTACACAGAAGCTGCTGACCTACATTGGCAAAGGGCTCCTTTCCCTCCTGTATATTTTTCTTCAATACTAGGAGTGGTTCAAAGCTGATGAAATTGCAGCCTTAGTCCCAGCTCCCCCGAGCTACACGACGTATCCATTGTTCTTTGTATTCCATGTGTTTTATCAAATGAACATTTGATTTCCAAAGGAAGGGAAGAATCTGTTGGACTGGTGGAATGAAAATCTGCCACTGAGAAGTTATTCACACATCTTCAATTTTAGCATTTTCAATACAGATTTGCCCCTTCCTAAAATCCTTTCACTCTTCTCTAAATGATTAATTCCCCTTGAGGTTATCTTTAATTTATACTCCATCTACCTTATATGAAAGTAGTCACTTGCATATTGTCTGCCCCATTACATAGTGAGCTCTTTGATGGCAGGAAATGTTTTTTGCCTTTCTCTGTACCTCAAGTGTTTAGCATGCTGTCAGGCACATAGTAGGCACTTTATAAATGATCTCTGACTGACTGACTTCCATTAAAGTTTAATCATCATATTTCTGTTCATTGACATTATTAAAATGTGAGGCAGTGTGTATCTAGCGTGTGCTGGATGGAGCATCAGGAGAGACTGGGATTTGAATTCTATTTCTCTGTGGCCATAGGAAAGTGACTTCACTTTTCCAATCCTCAATTTCCTCATATATAAAGTGAGGAGAACAATAACTGTAGTCCCCATCTCACAGAACTATTGCAAGAAATTTGGAACTATGCCCAAAGGGTTATAAAACTGTTTATACCCTTTGATCCAGCAATATTACTACTAGGTCTGTATCCCAAAGAGATCATAAAAATGAGAAAAGAATCCACATGTACAAAAATATTTATAGGAGCTCTTTTTGTAGTGGTCAAGAATTGGAAATTGAGAGAATGCCCATCAATTGGGGAATGGCTGAACAAGTTGTGGTATGTGAATGTAATGGAATACTATTATGCCATAAGAAATGATGAGCAGTAGGACTTCAGAAAAACCTGGAAAGACTTACATGAACTGATGCTGAATGAAGTGAGCAGAACCAAGAGAACATTGTACACAGTTATAGACACATTGTGCCATGACTGACTTTGATAGACTTAGCCATTCTTAGCAGTACAAGAATCTAAGACAATTCCAAAAGACTCATGATGGAAAATGCTATCCACATCCAGAGAAAGAACTTTGGAGTCTGAACGCAGATCTTGAAGCATAATATTATCTCTCTCTCTCTCTCTCTCTCTCTCTCTCTCTCTCTCTCTCTCTCTCTCTCTCTCATTTCTGCTTTCTTGTGATTTTTCCCTTTGGTTCTAATTCTTCTTTACAACATGACTAATGTGGAAATATGCCATCTTGGAAAGGGAGAAATGGAAGGAGGGGGAGAAAATTTAGAACTCAAAAATCTTATAGAAGTGAAAGGTGAAAAGTAAAAACAAATAAATAAAAATTAAAAAAAAAAACTGTTGGGGGAGCTAGGGGGAGCAGTGAATAGAGCACCAGCCCTGAAGTCAGGAGGACCTGAGTTCAAATATGACCTCAGACCAAACACTTGACACTTACTAGCTGTGTGACCCTGGGCAAGTCACTTAACCCCAATTACTTAAAAAAAACTGTTACAAGAGCTCCAATGAGACAATGTGCAAAGCTGATCAAAGCTCCTTGATTTCTCTTGAGCTAAAACTCTGAACTTTTTGAGGCCAAGAACTATGCCTTACACTTCTTTTGAATTCCCCACAGTGTCTAGCATAGTTGGAGAGCACATAGTAGGTATTCACATGATAGATCTTGTTGAATGAGTGAAGTAAATTCAGTTCAGTTTAAGAAGCATTTTTTTTTAATGATGACTGGCCATGTGGAAGGGGCAAAGGATGGTACCCAAGTATTCCACTGGGATCTTCTCAATGTCAGGAGAAAGCAAAAAAAGGTCCTCCTCGTGACCTAATGAAAGAACTAACACAAGAATCACACAGGATAGGCAGCAATGATTGGGAGGTAATGTGAATCATTAGAAGAACATTCTAAATTTGTTCAGAGATCCACTGGAATATTGAATAATTGAGTACTATATGCCAGGCATTGGGCACATAAAGACAAAAATATTACAGCCTCTGTCCTCAAGGAACTTACTTCCAGATGGAAGTATAAATAATTTTTATTTATTTATTAATATTTATAAATAAATGATATAAATAAATAAAATGAAAGGGGGAGGGCAGAGCCAAGATGGCGAAGCAAAAGCAGTGACTTGTAGGAGCTCCCCTCCAAATACCTGTAAAAATGGTTCTAAACAAATTCTAGAGCCTCAGAACCCACAAAAAGACAGAGTGAAACAAATTTTCAGCCCAAGACAACCTGGATGGATTGGAAAGGTCTATTGCACCAGTCTGGGAGAGCTGCATAGGTCAGCACTGGCATGCACAGGCAAAGACCAGAACTCAGCAAACATGAAGTAGGCCTCTGGGGACTGAATCATGGGCAGCTATGGCAGTTTCCAGACTTCTCAACCCACAAATGCCAAAGACAATTTAGAAGGTCAGTAGGAAAAGTCGGTCGGACTGTGGTGAAAGAGGAACTTGGTCCCAGCCCCAGTGCTGGTGCAGCCCTGGGGTGGTGGCTGCTTCTGAAACTCTCGGAAGTGACTGATCAGAGGGGGATTGCAGGGATCTCTTTGCTGGTGCTGAGGCAGGATTCTCTTGCTTGGTCCATGCTTGGATCTGGGTCACTGTTCTGGGTGGCAGTCCTAGGGTAAGGAGGAGTGCTGGTGTGGTGAAGCTTGTAGTGGCCGTGGAGAGGGGATCCTCCTCCCAGTTCCAAGGCAGAAAAGAGTCTCACATGTGCCCCAGATTAGCTGTGGGACTCCAGGTAAATAACCTCTTGGTGTCCCAGGCAACTCTGTTGGAATAGAAGTCACAGAGGTTTGCTAATAATACTGATTGACTAAATGGCCATAGCTAAGAAGGGAGTCACCCCACTGGCATTTCCTCATACCAATAAATCACAGATCTGGAATCCTCACAAAAAGTAGTCTAACTTTAGTCATTGCTAAGTTGATGTTTTTTAGGAATATCAGACACTTTGGAAATTGTGTTGATGCTACAAATGGTTTTTAATGGTCCTAAACTGTTCCCTAAACTCGAGCAGTGCCCCCCCAAACCAGGTGATGATTGATGTATCCATTAGCAAAGAAAAAGATTTCTGAAAATGAGCTGCCCTAAATTTTCATTATTCTAAGGGTTTGACTGATATCATATAATGAAATGACTGCCATATATGGCAATGAAGAGCCCATAACCCCCAAGAAGAGCCACAAAGTACTTGGAGGCACAAGATACAAAGTATCTCAAAATAGAATTCAAGGAATATCTGGGTGGTATATGGGGAATCCTTTGGCAAAATTATATTTGGGGTCTTTAAAGTGCATGGCATTGCTGGTACCTCAAGAACAGCTCTGTGGTGTCCTCCTTCAGGTGCCAAGGACAAAAAGCCCTCTCTGAAGCTCCAAGAATCCAAAGTCCTTTGTGGACTTTGTGACTTATCAGCAGTCACAGTCAAGTGTACATACCCAGTCCTCGGTGATAAATCAGGCTCCTTTCTTTTGCTACATAAGACAAGCCACTGGGGAACTCTCATTTAGTATTGGGAAAGATTCCTCTCATAAATTCTGGGGACAGCCATTAATTCATTGTCCAAAGGAGAATCAAAAGCTGAAAGGAAAAAGACCAAGAAGTAATGCCTTCAGTGTTTTGTTCTGTGTTGCCTTGTTAATCTTTGATCAGCTATAATCATTAGGATAAGAAATAACTGTGTAATTTATAGTTTGAACATAGTCCTAGGTTAAAAAAAAACAACCAACCAACCTGTGTGTAACCGAACTATGATATAGTCCCAGGGAAATTTTTGTGTTAGATAACCTTGGAAGTGTAACTAAATCATTATAAAATGTGTTATCTTAAGTATGCAACCATAATAATAATACCTATATATTAATCTTTATGTTAAAATGATAAAGTAAGTCAGTACTGTAGAGGGCTGATTGAGACATCAACGGGCTAAGCGAGATATTGTGGAATGTACAGAGTTAGGACATCACAAAGTTAGGACACAGTGACCTGCAAAATGCAATCTTGCATGAATCAGCTTCCAGAGGACTTTGTTGTACCATACATGAATCAAGAGACCTATAAATAACTGTGAATTCTATGTCTCCGGGTCTCAGACTGTACTAGGCAGGCTGTAGACCCTACCTTTGTTTCTCTTAATAAAGGTTGTTTTCTTTGCCCAGAGAGGTTTCCAATTTTTTTTATAGAAAGCTTAACTCATCTTAGAGAAAAGGTGCTGTTAAATACAGGAACAGGTCACTAACTAAATAATTTCAGCACTGAAAAGATGCAGCCAAAGGTGACATTAGAGAAGGTGCAGTGGGAGAGTTGGACAAGCAATAATTGGGAGACAGAGGATCTGGGTTCAAATCCTAGCTTTGCCCCTTACTACCATCATGACCTTTACCAAGTTGCCTCAGTCACCTCATCTGGAAAACTAGGATGTTGTATTCAATGGCTTCTTGGGTCCCTTCCTACCCTAAATCTGTGATCCTTTACTATTATTCAAATGGAGTAAAGTAGAAATGGATCAAAACTTCATCCTGGTGTACAGAAGCCAGTTTTGATACAGCCATACACCACGGAGAACAAAACAACTTCTGGAGCCTGCTCAGATGTGCACCATCTTCGTTCTACCAGCAGATGTTGCTATAAAGTAGAACAAGGAGTTGGAAGCTTTGAAGAGAATCTATGCTTCCCCCTGAAAGCTGATAAAAAGGATGGCTCTGTCTCCTTGGGGTTTTCCAACTGATCTATTTGTCCACATTAGTTAGTTAGACACATTTTATTCATGATAGGCTTTTGCTCTGTATCTTTGCTTTTGTCGATGAAAGGACATTGCTTTAATGCACAAAAATGAGCTGGAGAAGGAAATGGCAAACCACTCCAGTATCTCTACCAAGAAAATCCCAAATGGAGTCACAGAGAGTCGGACACAACTGAAACAATTCAACAACTGCAAACATACAACAAGCAGCTACAATGGGAAACCTCTATCACAGTACTGCATGTGGTTGACAGCAACCTGAGCTGTTGAGTTCACTGCATACCTGAGTAAATGAAGGTAAAAGGCTGTTCTGTTACTCAACCAAGCCCTTCACTCCAAGAGGTGTTGACAAATGGGCGAAAGAGAAAGATGAAAACATTCGGTCTTTAGACTTCTCAGTCATTTCTTCAAGTAGCACTTAATAACAATTGAGTGGAAATAAGATATTTTTATCCTTTTAATTCCAAAGCCCACTACTATAATCAAGTTCCTCAGAAAAGCAGCATAGTTTAGTGAGGAAAAAATAGTGTCATATGCCATGGAACTATTGAGCCTTAAACAATGATGAAGGGGACCATGTCAGATAAACCTGGGAAGACTTGTATGAACTGATGCAGAAAGAAGTAAGCAGAACCAGAACTTTATATAATGACAGCAACATTGTAAAGACAAAACAACTTTGAAAAGCGTAAGAACTTTCAGTAATGTGGTGACCAGTCATGATTTGAAAGGACTGGTGATAAAACATGCTACCTAACTCCTTAATGGAAAGTGGTGGACTCAGGTTAGAGACTAAGTCATACATTCTGGGCATGGCCAGTGTGGGAATAGTTTGCATTATGCATATTTCTTTCAAGAGTTTTGTTTTTCTCTTCTTTTCTCATTTGTTGGGAATAAGAGAAAATAAATTATTATTAATTGAAAATATAGTTATTTTCTAAATTAGAATCCTTGGAATTTAAAGGCCAGATTTCAAATCTTTGTTCTAACACTTATTAGCTTAGTCAGTTAGACTCTCTGAGCCTCAGCTTCTTCATCTGTAATATGAGGTAAATAATACTTTGACTACTCCCTTGACAGATTTTTTTTACACCAGACCTATGTGTCCTAAGTGTGGACAGCTTCCTATTCTTAATCAGCTCAATTGCTTCTTTCCAAGTTAGAAACTTAGAGAGTGGCCTGGGGGCACTGAGAGGTTAAGGGACTTATCCAGGGTCACACAGCCAGTATGTGATGAAGGTGGAAATTGAACCCAGATCACCCTCACTTCAAGGCTAGCTCTCTATTTACTGGCTTTCACTCCCTTTAATATTAAATAAGACTTTAATATCTATGTCTAAATATAAACATTTATATAAATATGGCATAACTATAAAACCATTGCCTAATACATTTGAGTTATTATTTTTTCCACATGACTTAAAACATAGCAACTCCACATATTCATTCATTCCATAATATCTAGGCTGCATAGCATAATGCATAGAAAATCTTGGTGTTGGGAAGACATATTCCATCTCTGACATTTTCTAGCTAGATGGTCCTGAACAAGTCTTTTAACCTCTCTATGTGCCCCAGGCAACTCCCTAGATGGGTTGTAATCTGCTCTGCAGTTGGTGGGGACAGTTCCCACACCCAGCATTCTCTGCATTGATTAAGTCATAGATCCTTCATCTAGGTGGTATAGTAGATAGAGTACTGGATGTGCAGTTAGGAAGACCTGAGCTCAAATCCAGTCTTAGACACTACTTGAGTGATCGTGGTGAAGTCATTAAAAAAAGGGGGGGTCTCTGTTTGCCTCAGTTTCTTCATTTGTAAAGCACTAAGCATATAGTAAATGCTTTATGTTTATTCTCTTCCCTCCTCCCTTTCTCTTCATTTCTTCACTTGAGTAAATCTATCTATCTATCTATCTGTCATCTATCTACACACTTTATTTGTAAATTGCTTTACTTTTAAATTTGCTCGCACAAATGCAAATGTATACATGAGAATCCTTATCCAGAATCTATTGAATATGTCCAATTCATCCTAGGACATTTTGGATCCAAGCCCTTTTGCTAGAAATAGAATTTATTTTCCCCTCTGCCTAGTGGCCACAGACATTATGCCTGGATCCATGAACTACATTATTCAGAGAGAAGTCTCAGCTCTGCTTTACAATTGATAGTGACTTTGACTTGGAAATACAGTATGGATACAAGATTTTCCTATAGATCTGACCCAGGTGTCCATCAACCTGATTTGTGTCTCACAAGAGAAACAATCCAAGTCATGTAGTGATGTTCTAAGCATCTCTATGTGTCCTCACAACTGCTCAGAAGCACCGTGCCCATGGCTTCTCTAAGCCTCAAGGGATGAATATAGAGTGTACTCCAGGATGTGTCAACATGTGACCATATTCCAGCTAGGATTCGGCTATTATCCCAGAATACTCTTTAGAAGGTACTTCCTAATGGTTCCTTGAACTTCCTTGTGTGCCAACAGCTTCCTAGAATACACAAAGTAGATGAAGAAAGAACACATAGGAAGAAAGACAATTGTAGCTGATGTTAACAGAGAATATCTCTCCCATTAGTGGGCTACAAGGTCAGTATGAGTCAAGAGTGTAAAATAATAGCCAAGCTCATTCACCTACAGTAAGAAAGGCATAGTATCCAGGATGAGAAGGGTGTTAGTGCCTTCATAATTTGCCCTCATCATACTACATCTGGAATGTAGTGTTTGGTTTTCATAAGGGCATTAATAAGATAGAGAACCTTCTGGGAAGGGAAACCAGGATGGAGAAGGACTTCATGGTCAGAGTCAAGAATCAGAATTCAGGATACTAAATTTGGAGAAGACTTAAGGGGATAGGATAAATTGTCTTCAAGTATTTGAAGGGCTATGGGGTTCTAGATTTGTTCTGTTAGGTCCCAGAGAGTAGAGATAGAAGCATTGGGCAGAAATTGTATTGGCAGATTTGGTTTGATATGAGGGAAAACTCTTAATTAGAGTTGTCCATACATAGAGTGGCCTTCCTCGGGAGTTTTGGGCTTCCCCTCCCTAGAGATCTTCAGTCCAAGGCTAGATGACTCCTTGTAGGGATTTAGCCTAGAGAAATCGTGTTCAGAAATAGGTTGGACTAGTCGACTTTTGAGGTACTTGGTAACTGTGAGATTCTGAGCCCCCTCATGTCAGTGAAGAGAACACCACGGAGATCAGACCCTAGAAGAACTTCTGCTCTGCAATCTTGCTCTTGGACTGACGAGTCTATCCTGAATCACTATTTCAGGAAGGTCCTAGCCATGCTTTGCTTCACCCCTCTCCTCACCTCTACCTCCTCTCCAGGCTCAATCAATCAACAAGCATTTATTAAGCACTGACTATGTTCTAGGCACTCTGCTAGGTAGTTGGATACAATAAAATAAATGAAATAACCTCTACTCAAAAGGAACTTGCATTGTAACGAGGGGGACAAAGTACGTGACTGCCCCTTTGCTTACCTCCATTTCTTCAACTCTCCAGTTTTGTAACCATAAACCATGATCAAATGACCTGGGTCATGGTCTCTGGATGGGATGTGCCAGTCTACTTCTTTATGGCCCCACTTGCCATCCTTGTAACTTTCTGAACCAAAGTGTCCCTCCTTGGCCACCACACCCCCATTTGCTTTGTAATATGAGCTTTCCCATTTGCTTTCAATGTAAGCTCCTCAAGTACAAGGATTGTCTTTACTTTCGTATTTGTTTCTCTTCATGCTAAGCATAGTAAGCACTTACTAAATGCTTTATCATTGCTTTCTCATTCCTGTATTTTAGTGATGGAGATTATTACAATTGCTTTTTCAGTCTCCTAGGTCCCTCTATTAACAACTCTAACTTGTTACCTATGAATTTTTTGATGCTTTGCCCTGATGGCAAATTGTAAGAAGAAATGTATAGTTATGTCCATGTTATACAGCCTAACAAGACTTATGGAACTATAGGATTTAGATCTGGACAGTGCTTTAGAGGTGATCTAATCCAGAGGTATGAAACATGTGGCCAACAGGCTGCAGGCCCACAACACCCCTGAGTGTAACCAGAACCAGATTAAAATGTAAGTGGAAAATTAACAAAATCAATAAAAATACAACAAAATACAGATAATGTTAATATGTGGATTTCTAAGTCAATATGCGTCCCACAGGGATCCTTATATACAGTTTAGTGGCCCCTGTTTTTATTGGACATTGACAACACTGATATAGTCTACTCCCTACATGTTACTATAAAGAAAGAGAGCCAAGTGTGAGTTGGCTTCCATAACTAGGCTCAAATTTCACATTTAGAAATGACAAGTGAGTTGGATAAAATACTTTTTTAAAAAATTTACAATAGAAATTTATAAAAATAGCTTTAATAAAATTATTACAAAATCAATTTACAATATAACTTATACAACCATCTCCTCAAAATACAACACTGGATTATAACAAGTAAACTACATTTGTTTTTGTTAAATCACATCATAGTATAAATAATACTTCATCATCATATTTTTACGAGTGTATATGCCAATAATGATGAATAATAAACCGCACATGTTATTTTTATGACTCTTTCAATGAAAAATTCATATCTGGGCAAAACAAAGCCACCCATAGGAAAACAGAGAACGTAGTTTTGTTTTGTTTTGTTTTTCAGTTGAACAAAAGTCCTATTTAATTATGTTTGAGTGTACAATATTTAATTTGAAAGCACCAAGTATACACACACACACACACACACACACACACACACACACGATTCTCCATCTTCTTATTCCTTATTTTGCCAAGATAATAGCTCACTCAAAGGTGAGCTTCAGAACCCCTCCGCCTCAGCTCTCCCCTTAATTGGTCTCAGGTTTCTATCATGCACTGAGGTTGTATGTAAGAATATTCTTCTTTGGCTTCCAATTGGGATATTTCAAAACTTAGGAAATATACTGAGCTCCTCCATGTGGCTGAATCTCTGTAACTCCCCACCCAACAACATTGCCCCTGATATGACAGGAGTCATCTCCTCTTGTTTGTCTGATCTCATCACTGCTGAGAACTCGGTCCCAGAGGTTAAAGCCAGTGAGCCTTCCAGAAAAAGCCAATGTTTCATCGAAGCCCCCACCCACACAGCAACCATTCTTTTCTTGGCCCATTTGTAGAATCCCACCCTCTGGGATGATGTGACCTGTGGCCATCCCAGAGCCAGTGGCTGCCAGTTCTCCATTGACCCACAGAGATGTGACCCCTTCCTCGGTGTTCCATGTGCCGCACAGATAGGTCCATGTTCCAAGGGGAACCACTGAGTTGGCAACAAGCTTGTTCTGGTCTCCACCCACCACGAGCACAGTGGACCAAGAGTTGAGGTAGAGCTGTATTTCATAGGGATTCCTCTTTGTGCCATAGGAGAACAAAACAGTTTTATTTAACACATCAGTTGCCCTGACCCAGATGCAGGCAGTGAAGGAGCGAAGTTTCATTTCAGTCACTGGATGAACACTGCCAAAAATCTTCTTGGAACGCATTGGGAATAAAAGTGCTGTTTCACAACCTGTAATAGAAGTGGATGCAAAGACAGACACGTGAGCAGCAATTGAAATCCATTCAGAACGCACCCTGGAAGTGAGACTTTTTAATCATCGCATGGGAGAAAATTGTGCAAAGATTTAGGTGACATCCCTTCTCTGCTCAAGAACCTTCAGTTTTATCATTTAGGACAACAACCCTCTATCTGACATTCAAAGCATTCATGATCCATCTCTGGTCAACATTTCTAGCCTAATTTCATACTACTGCCTTTCACACGCTCTAGTGTCCAAGCAAATTGGTGTGCTTGCTGTTGCAAACTCGGCATCCCATCTACTATCCCTCTAACTCATACGGCATATCCCCTTGCCTAGAATGCCTTTCGACCTCACTCTTGGGGCCTCTGGATTCCTTTGAGGCTCAGCTCATGTGTCACTTCCTATAAGAAGCCTTTTCCCCACCCCTCCTCAGATGAGCATGTATTTGTTTATCAGTCCCTGAAGTGTAGAGATTGCTACCACCCTGATACAGGCCCTCATTGCCTTTTACTTGGAGAACTGCATTTGCTTTCTAATTGGGTCCCTTGCCCAGCATGTCTCCACCCCAATCTGTCCTCCACTCATCTGCCAAAATGATTTTCTTCACCCCCCAATTCAGATTTCAGTGGCACCCTATTATCTCCAGGATCAGACATAAAATGCTTTGCTTGGCTGTTTAATGCCCTTCATGACCTGGCCCCTTACTATCTCTCCAGTCTTCCACTTTCTTACTCTCCATCTATTCTCTGATCTAGCAACATTGTCCTTCTTGCTGTGTCTTGATCACGCTCCATTCCTAGATCTCATGCTTTTTCAGTGGCTGTCCCCTATGTCTGGGGTGTTCTCCCTTCTCACCTCTGCCTTCTGGCTTCCCTGGCTCAAGTCCCATCTTCTTCAGAAGGTCTTTCCTGGTCAGTTCCACTGTTCCTTCCCTCTGATATTCCCTTCCAACTCCTCTGATTATAGCTTATATGTACTAAGTTATTTGCAATGATGCCTCTTCCACTAGAGGATGAGTTCTTTGGGGGCAAAAACAATACATTTATCTTTATAACACCAGCACTTAGCACAGTGTCTGGCATGTAGAATACTGATACTTGTTGACTTGACTTAGCCTAAGATTCAAATTACTCCCCATGCATTTAAAATATTTGATCTGTGTGCAATTTTCTAGGAGCACCTGTACCATGTAAAGTGATATGCTTTTCCTAATGGCTCCCCCACTGGGAGAACAGAGTGGCCTAGAAAGTGATCCTACAGAGGATTCTAGTGAGATGGAATGAGAGCTGAAAGGACTCATAGAGGTCGGCACAAATCAGAATCATAGATAGAGTTAGGTGAATTGACTTGCCCATGGTCACAGAGGTAGTAAGAGTCAGAGGCAGAATTTGAACCCAGGTCTTCTGCCTCCAAACTCAGCACTCTTTCGACTGTACCATGTTTAATCAAGCAAGTACAAGAGCAGGAATGGTGTGAAGGAAGTTAAACAAAGACAGTCAGTCATTGCCTTCTATTAGTTCTAGAGCCCACAATATAATGGTCTAGACTAGTTACTCCAGGATAAAGGAACTCAATTAAATCCATCCCAATTTTCTGAGCTTTCTCTCAATCCATTCTTGATGAGACACTGATTTTTTTTTAATTCACTTGATCATGGTATCTCCCCCAAAGTATCACACTGAATTCAGTTCACTGAAGATCGAGGAACTAAAAGGTCCTCCAAGGAAATTCCAAGCACTTTGGACATTTACTCTACTCCATGCTTTAGGTAATTCAAAGAGTCTCAGTGAGGGAGAGACAAGTGGTATGGTGGGAAGTGGAGTCCTGGAGACCTGAGTTCAAACCCACCTGAGACATTTACTAAATGTATGACCCTAGTAAGTCACTTTAACTCTTCCAGCCTCAGTTTCCTCATGTGTAAAATAGGGATAATAGTATCACCTACTTCACAGGGTTATTATGAGGATGAAATAAGGTTAGCTATGTAAAATGTTTGGCAAATCTTAAAATACTGCAGAAATGCTAGCTATTGTTATTGTTACTGATGTTGGGAGGGATTTCAGAAGTAATCTGGTTCATCCAAACCATGCTAGAACAAGAATCCTCCCTACAACACATCTGATTGCTCATTTGCCAGCCTTTGCTTACCTGCAAGAGGAGCCCATTATCTCTGAGGCAGCTCAGTCCACTTTGGGACGACTAATTATTAGGGAGGATAGTCTCCCCACCTTACATGAAGCCTATGTCAATGCCACTGTGAAACTCCCACGCATTCTAGCAAATCATCTTTTAAAATGCATGGGCATTCTTATTAAATGGTTCCATAATCGATAGATTTTTCTCATTCTTTTATCCAAAGCCAGAACAAATGAAAACCAGCTCGTCAGAAGAAGAATAACAGTGTGATTAGGAAGTGGAGTAAAAGCTGGGCTGGCGGGGAACCAAGATGTAAGAAATCCAAACCAGTTGCTAAAAATGTTATTGTGAGCAGTGAGGAGAAGATTCCTAAAGAAGTACCAAGCAGGACACAAATGCGCTTTTGAAACTGTAATCAAATTTGGCCTAGTTTTTCTGACTTGGCTTATTTATTTTAAAGATCAGAAATGTGTGATTTTGGGCAACGATTTCCAGTCCTCATGGAATCACAGAACTAAGAGAAGGAAGGGAGCCCAGACATCATGTGGTTACATCTCCTCATTTTACAAATGAAGTAACTGAGGCCTAGAAAGATTAAGAGCTTTTTATTCAAAGCCACACAGCTAATTAGTGACGGTGCCTTCACTGGAAATCAGATCTCCTTACTGCCAATCTAGTGCCCTCTGTACCTCCATGTATAAAAGTGAAAATCAAAAAAGTGGGTAGTTCTCCAGATACTCTAGCATTACCTAACACATTTAAGACAATGTCTTCCAGCCTATAATGTACTAGTCAGAAATGTTATTCTAGTAAGGTAGCAAAAATGACCATCTGTCTTCATACCCATCTGCACTTCATTTCACACGGCATAATGGAAAGACCATGATGTATGGGGCAGAGTCCTGATGCTGGCGTTAGGAAGACCTAGGTTCAAATGACATCTCTTGACACTAGCTGTGTAATCATAGGCAAGTCACCAAACCTCTTTGAGCCTCAGTTTCCTTATCTGTAAAATGGGGATAATAACACCTCTAGTACCTACCCACAGAGTTTGGGGGATTTTTACATGGGATAATATATATAAAACACTTTACAAACTCTAAAGCACTAGAAGTGTCTCAATGAAGTTTCAATCTGATTAAGCTTCCTAAGTTTAATGGTAATTAATAATGGTAACTACTATCATTTATGTTCTGTTACTCTCCCCTGTGGTACTATTAAACATTTCTTATTATATGACTCAAGCCAATACTTTGCCGTTATAGGTTATCTCTGTGATATATTAACAAACAAGACTGAAGAAATACTGGAATAAGTCTTCAAGGTATAATGGAGATTCATGTTTCCATGTGACAATTTTATTTTTAAAATAAAATGTCAGATGTTGCTTGCATTTCCCCCCTTTCAATGGTCCAACAATTGATAGGGAAGGATTTCATTGAGTAACAGGGGTGGCCAGAGGGATCTACAGGACTGGGGCCAACTCCCAGAGAACCAGGCAGATGGGGAGAAGGTCTGCTCCTGATTTCCCGTTAAAACAGGAAAAAACAGGATCATAGATTTAAAGCTAATCCAACCCCTTTATTTTACAAGTGAGTAAACCGAGGTTGACAGAGTTTAAGTGACTTGCCCAAGGTGACAAAGGTAGCAAGTAAAATGTTAAACTCCTTGAGGGTGGGGGCTGTGTCATTTCTTTATATATCCTCTTATTAGTGCAGGACCTGACACATAGTAGGTGCTTACTAAATGTTCCTTGAATTGAAGCTAGTGGGTCAGGATTTGAACACAGATCCTCTGACTGTTTCCTTTTCCATATTTTTGATGTTTTGTTTGGCCTTTGGGAATATGGGGCACTATTATATATTTGGTACCTAAAGCAGAAGGGAAAGGATTGTAGAAGTTAAATTGCCCTTAAAGCCCTCTGTCTGATGGATCCAGGGGTGTTTTGCAGCTACAGCTGCTGACCTGCAAGAGCTGACTGTTAAATTTTCAGTGTAAGCATTACATCTCAGAAATTCGCAAATGGCTATAGATCAGGACTTGATTTAGAATTCTGCTCATTGTCTAGACTTAAGAAGGTGATAGAGAAAAATGCCAATAATGGTGATTCAACATAAAAGTGTGTAGTGTACGTACATTCCCCCCACCCCAGATCTGGTTGTTAAACATCTGCCAACATACCCCTGGTTTTATCTTGTTCTTGATTGTGGGAGTTTGGCACATTGTGACCCACACAAAGTATGCTTCTACTCACCAAGCCAAAGTAATTCCCACTTGTTTTCTTTTAAAAATTGACTTTGGTAAGGTGGGGGAGGAGGGGACAGGACCCGAGCTTCTGGTTTCAGTTATCCTGGCTGTAAAATGAGGGATTTGGTGACCTCTCAAAGTCTGTGACTATACCCAGGTTTCTGGAGCACTAAATGAGTCTGACAGGTTTTGCCCAATTTGATAGTCTCTTATTTAGACTGTTTCTCTAATCCTTTCAGAAAACAAAAGTTAAAAAAAAAGGACTGAAATATAAATGCATCTGTTCCTAAAGAGAGATTTTCAACTAGCAGTCTGTCTCTGGTAGTTGCCCCAATCTCATCTTACAAGGTATCTCTCCTTGACCCTCCCAGGACTCCCCACTCCATCGAGCTCATTTCACTACAGCATTAGAGAGGCAGTGGGGAAAGGATTCCTCTGGCACCTCAGAAGATCAGTTTACGCCTTAAAGCATGAGATTTGATAGGTGCTGGTTGATATTATCAATCAGAACTGTCCTTAAAGACAAGCAGTCAACCTGTGAAAAAGTCCTCAAACCTAAAGTTAGACTTTGCCCTAATCTCTGCGGTACTCTGGAGGGTAGAGATTAAATTTGCAATAAAAGTAAACTAGATGGTGCAGTGAGTAGATAAAGCACTGGGCTTGGAATCAGGAAGACCTGAGTTCAAATGTTACTTCATATACTTACTAGCTGTGTGACTCTGAAAAAGTCACTTAACCTTGTTTGCCTCAGTTTCCTCATCTGTAAAATGAGCTGGAGAAGGAAATGGCAAACCCCAAATGGTGTCCTGATGAGTCAGACATGACTGAAACAACTCAACAACAACAAAGCTAAATTAAGGCACAGGCCTCAGTCACAGGCCAATCTGCGGCTAAGGAAGGGAGGCTGAGAAGACTATTTTTTTTTTGTAATGAGCCAACAGAGTTTAAACTGATAGGCTAATTCCAGGGTGGAAGAGTTAATGGGCATTTTAAGGTGAAAGCTGCTTGAGGGGTGTGTGTGTGTGTGTGTGTGTTTCAATTCTGGAGAACAAACTCCTTTGAGAGCCAGTTTGATGTAGCCAGGCCAGGCTGGATTTGTAGTTGAACGACCTGGGTTCAAATCCCGTATCTGCCATTTTATGTCTCTTTCCCCTTGGACAAGTTATGTAACTTCGTCGAGTGTGCCAGTATCTGTAAATCTCACGTCGGTAAAAGGTGAGACTCAATGATCCCTAAATTACCAGTTAGTAGAATCTCTCTATCTAGATCTATGTTCTTGTGATGGAGAATAACTCGTTGACATTACATTTAGATTTATTATCTCATTTGACCCTCACAACCCCTGGGAGGATACGTGGTACTGTTCTTCCCATTTTATGGATAAGTATACTGAAACTCGCTGGACTTGAGTTCCCTCATCTGTAAGATCAAGGGGCTGGATGCAGTAGGTAGCCCCTGAGGTCCCCTCCCAGCCTTAAACCTAGGCTCCGTGATTCTATCAAAGGCACTAAAGAAGGCTTTCTTCAAGATAAAACAAAGACTGGGTCCAGCGACCAGGGGAACGTTATTGGATCCAAGTGTCTCTCTGGCTATGAGACTTACCCCGCCCCCAATGGGAAGCTCAGCTGATTGGGTGGCAGCAGACGCGCAAGGGAGGGGGGCGGTCACAAGGCTCTCTCTTACCTGCAGGCAGCGAGCGCTGTCCAGCCCATCTCCGCAGGGCTCGCAGCTCCTCCAGCACGGGCAGCAGCGCGCTCCCTGTCGCTTCGGGAGCCCTCTGCCAGGCGCTCTCCAGCTTGGCCAGCCGCTGTGTCAGGCCGCGGCTGGTCAGCAGCAGCTCGTCGAGCGTCCTGGTGAGCCAGACAGGCTCCTGGGCTGGGGCGCACGTGCGGGCCACATCCGAGCGCAGACCCCGCAGCTCAGCGGCCAACACATCCTCGGCCGCCTGCAGCAGTCTGTTCTCACGCATCTGAGAGTTCTCCAGCATGGTGAAGAGCTGGTCCCACGCCGAGCGCTCCCGGCTGCAGTCGCACGCAGAGCCTGGAGGAAGGGCAAGACGCCGGGGTCAGGAGCCCACCTGTGCGCCCACAGGGTCGAGCTGGGCACCTCTCCTCCCTTTCCTACGGAGTGCAAGCTCGGCTTGGCCCAAAGCCGCTGGCCTAGCGCTCCTGAGAGGTCAGGGGAAAGTCTAGCAGAGTGCTCTAAAAGTGCCACCTTCCACATCCCTTCCAGAGACATTCAGAAAAGTAGTGCAGAGAAACCCTTAGGGCGCATACAAGACAGCATAGGATGGCCCTCATGGTAAAAAAAAAAAAAAATAATAAGTAACTGTTTCCAGTTACTTATTTCTTTAGTAAACCACTTTTTTTTTTGAGGGGGGAAGGGGGGCGGGGTGGAGAGCTGTAAGATGGACCTGTGATTTACACAGTGTGAGGAATGGGAATCCCCAATGTGGAAACCCCCTCCACAATTGGGGTTCCGCAACGTTTCTGTATCTTACACTTAGTTACCTGGGTAATAACAATTTGGGACTTCTCCAGGGTCAGACAGCTAGTGCCCGTCAGAGGGCAGAATTTGAGCCCTGGTCTTAGGGCCTTAGGGCCATGCATTTTGAATTGAAAGGTTCTTTAGGGGCCACCTAGTACAATCTTGCCATTTTACACATGGAAACTAAGACCCAGGAAAGTTAAAGACTTGCCCAGTCTCACAGATACGGTCTCCCTGGTCTAGAGCCTGCCTCTCCATGCGCTGTGTGTGTCGGGTTGCCTCTCAGACTACTTCAGCTCCCTTCCTCCCTTTCTTGTACATATATTAAATTACTTTTTAAAGCTCCCCGTGCTCTAAAGAACTCCCACTCTTCAAAGGAAACTTCTTGAAATAACTTATCCTTGCTCCAATACAGACCACCCCCAATGCATACAGAGTAATTTGGAACAGCTGAGGGTAGCAGGGAAACAGTTAACAAGCACTTACTGTCATCAGTGGGATGGATTCCATTCTCTATTTCGTTATCCAAATTCACGTACATGAGATTGTAGTCATCGCTGTCCTCAGCCGACAAGGCAGAACAGAAAGCCCAAAACAGAATTACTCGGAGATGCTGCATTTCTCCAGGAGAGACAGCGAATGTACTTCTTCAGATTTCTGCAAAAGTCTGCTAGGAGGGAGCTGGCCTGGAGCAGAGTAGAGAATGAGAGCAGGAGGCTGGGGAAACCTCTTAATAAAGGTCCGAGGCTTCCGAAAATGAATGAATGAGGAATGCTGGTGGCACGCGGGGGGGGGGGGGGGGGGGGGGGGAGGGAGAATGTCTGTGGCCGGTGGTGGGAGGGGGAGGGGGGGGGGGTGGGCTAGAGGAGGCGGGGAAGTTACACAACACCAAACCCCCAAGGTTTGCTCTGTGGTCAGGCTAATTGAGGGAGGGGGAAAAGGGGGGCACTGAGAGCCGGGGTAAGACCGTTCTTGCAAGACTTGCCCCTGGAGAATTAGATGTTGTAATGCGAATTTGTACATTCTGATGTACAAGAAAACTGCTTGTGGGGTAAGAAGAAAATTACATCAGAGCTGGAAGGAAAGGTAGGAAAGAGAAAGAGGGCCTTGAGGGGAGAGGCTTATGGAAGTATTTTTTCCACAATCCTTTTAGCCCCCAAACTTTTTTTTTTGTTCTTTTTACTCGTCATTCCCTGTACCCTCATTTTAATGCCAGTTGCCCAGAGTTATAGTTGAATTCCAGATGACAGAGACCTGGAAGAGAGTAATATACAAATTTTAGAGATGTTTGTTTTCTTGTCCCATTAGTAAATCTCTGTGAATATATAGCTCTAAGGAAACTAGCTTACTCTACCGGGCTTGGAGACCAGGATCATATTTCAAGAGTGAATTTAGGTTGTGACTATTTGTGATTTCTGTGCTGAAGTGTGTTCATGAGCTTGTAGCTCAAATTGGCTCACGCTTTCATTGATTCATTTTTGGGGGGCTGTTTTCAATTCAAATGAAAAGTGAACAAGTATCCTCCCTCCCACCATATACACATTAGATTTGTAGCATTAAGTAAAAGTCTTGTTGGAATTACATACCAGCTTTATGCCTTAAATTTTAGCTCCCTTAAAATGGACATTTTGAGCAGGCAAGTTTCTAACTGACCCAGAGTGGCCCTTAATTGTAGCTTTTAATATTCTTGATCTTTATTTCTGGAAGAGATCCTGGCATTCAAACCAAGGGTTAACACTCTCTGGATTGGTGACCAGTCACCAGAATATACTGTTGCCTGGTGCTCACCAGGGGGCTATTTACCTATTCAAGATCTCTTGAGAATTTTTCCAAGGTTCTGAGATCAAGCTATGTTTTTGAGCCTCCTGGATCTCTCCTGCTGATTCTGAGGTGCTTCTGCCTTACTATAGTGTGAGGGTGTCTAATTTTAGTCTGAAGGAGATGCCTAGGGAGGTGAGTGGGTATGTATGTTGGAAGGAAGGATGCAGAGTTGAAACCCAGATTTTGTCTAGGGAGGTCCACAATCACCCCGGAGAAGGTGATGGCCACATATCTACTCAAACCCTACCAAGTCCCACTTCTAGGTGAACAAACCAAGATCCTGGGAATAGATCTCCTTCAGGAAGTAGGAAACCATTCTAAAGTAGAGATCCAGAACTTTGATGCATCTCCCTACAGCTCCAGACTGTTGGAGTAAGAAATCAGACTCCATAAAGCTCAACTTCATGAGCTCTGCCTTCAGTGGCTGGGGCCAGAGATTCAAGAGCTGTGACTACCACTGGGCTACAATTGTTCTTGGCCTGCCTACCCAGGAAGGTGTCAGACATGAAAATAATAACCCAGGAGAGGATCTGGCCCTTTATATTACCCGTTAGACTGTGAACTCCTTGAGAGCAGGGCCTGTCTTTTGCTTTTCTCTGTACCCTAGCGCTTAAGAAATGTTAGTTGATTCGACTTGATGTGGCCGAAATAGAAAGAGCTCTACTTTCTGAGGAATCTGCACTAATTCCAAAAGTGAAAGCTAGGGAGGGAATCTCACCTGTGTTTCTGACAGCCTAATAATCGATAATGTTAGAGAACATGGCTTTGAACTTCACCTAGAAGAGAAGGGGAAGCTTGGCATCTGCTCGTGGGGATTTCTGCAGGGATGGAATGCTAGAGAACTACAAGAATGTGACTTCCCAGGGCTTCCAGGATGCAAACTAGAGATGATCTCCCATTTGGAGTGAGAGAAAACACCATGAATACTGAAGACAGAAACCTCAAGAGGGACCTTTCCAGATGAGGAGGCTAGGCTTGAAGTCTTGGAGTCATTTCCAAAGTGAGACATTTGTATGGGAGAACCACTCCAAGAAAGATTCACAAGGGGTGGCCCAGGATGGTTGGGAAACATGATGGCAGATTTCAAAGACAGCACAACAATCCAATTATAAAATGAGTTAAAGCAAGTCATGATCACTCATAAGAAAATGCACAATAAGGTCATCCCTGAAGTGCCATCCCTGAAGTCTTCCCCGACCACCTTACTCAGTTGTTAATGCTTTCTTGTCTTCTCAAATTACTTTGTATTATCTAGGTACCTATTCTGTTCCACCACTACTACCACCACCACCCCTTCCCCCATTCTCTGCCCCAATATAGTATATATAATCCTTGAGATCCAGGACTAACCCCATGCGCTAGCTCAGTGCCTTGAACACAGTAGTGCTTAGTGTTCTGTTGAAGTGATCTTGATCCGTTGAAGTGAGATTCTTACTGTAAAGACAGTAGAAATGACATTCCAGTGTTTCCCAAGTGACTTTAAAATTCTTAAGTATTGAGTTCTTCCAGTTCCCTGGGCCTAGTGAATACCCAAAGCAATGAGGTTTAATGATGCCAGGTCCAGAGACCTGTATTAGTCCTGTGCCACTGAGAGATAGTATAGTGCAGTGGAAAAAATCTGTGACTTTGGCATAACATCTGGGTACAAATCCTGATTCTGCTTCTTAATATCTGTGTGACCTTAGACAAGTTGATCAACCTCTCTGGGGCTCAGTTTCCCTTTCTTGTAAAATGAGTGGGCTGGTCCTAGTGATGTCCAAAGTCTCTCCAAGCTCCGACATCCCATGGCTCCGTATAGTATAAGTAAAAAGTAGTGACACCAATTTCCATTCTGTGGAATGTCTCCTTGCTTTGCAGTCTCACTTCATATGTTGCTGCCACTGACAGGCATCATTGAGGATTTTTGGTTTCCTCTAGAGTCAAACTTTTATCATTCTGAGTTTTAGAACTTCCTGTATTTTACCAATGTTTTCTTTGCTCAGTTCTTAAAATATTCTTTATAGGTGGTCACACCCAAACACATAAATGCATGTACATTTACTCACAATCTCCACTCTTTGGGTTCTTGTGTGTGTTTCTTCTATACACAGATCTCCATTTTAAAGTACATATGAGCATGGTGCTCCCCCTTCAAGGCATCCATGGAAACCAGGTGCTTTGAGGTTTGTAAGTACTCGGGAGTATGTTGAGAGAAAGGCTGGTCTCTGCAGGGATAAACAGATTCTCCCATGTGTTCTTGGTATGAGGAATACCTGAAGTTTACATAACTTTTGCCTTGTGGAAAATCATGATTGCCAAGCCATACCTCAGCAGCCCTTAAAATGGGGGTTTGAATCATCTTTGTTCCTCCTTTACTGTGAAAGCATCATTTCCAGATGTCTATTGTCTTCCTCTGTGAAGGGGAACATAAATGCATTCTATTGTTTTCTTTTCTTTGTTTCATTTCCTCTCATATTTATGATAAAGCTTGGTTTTCTATTAAAGACTATCTAAGACTCTTATCTGTCATCCTCTGTCTGCACTGAATCCTTCTCAAGGTTGGGGCTCTCTTATTGCCAAATTCTTCTGCTTGTCCCACATTGCTTCACTCAGTATAAACCATCATTAGGTAAGAACGTTTCTCGTCATCAAATGCCCCACTCATAGAATACGCTATGATAGTAGCAGTGCCAGTAATTTGTAGGAATCAGGGTCACCATTTGTTATTATTTGTTATTATGGATCAGCAGAGGAATGGGTGATTGGTCTCCACCATTTGATATGTGACTAAGTCTCCTATATGCTTCTTGGTTTAATCCTGACATGATTAATGCCTCTCATGAGCGGAGAAAGTTATGGAGTCCAAGTGAATGAACTGATCTTATTATTCTTTTAACAGGCAACTCCATGTTGTTGCGTGTCTTGCCTTCTGTGTATGAAAAGCAACCACAGCTAATTAACAGCCGTGTAACGGAGCTGGTGACCCTGATGTGCCAGCTAGAGCCAACAGAACAACACCATCTTCTCAGGCTGCTGCAGATGGTCGCGAGGAGGAAATGGCCCACGGTAAAGGCGTATTTTACATAGGCATATAAGTGATAAAAAATAACAGATCCTTCACGTAGGGCTTTGATATCGGCAAAGCATTTTATGTATATTATCTCAGCTGAACTTCTTAACAAAGCTGTGAGCTAGGCACTGCAGATGTCATCATCCTGTTTTATGGATGAGGCAACTGAGTTTTGATGGAGTTAAATGACTTGCCCTTCGTTACATGACTAGCAAGTTTCAGAGATAGGAGCTGGGCATGGGATTTTCTGACTCCAAGTCCAGAACACTATACGCTACACCACCCTGCCTCTCAAGGACAGATATACTTATATGAATGGCTAGGTATGTGAGGCTACCCTTCGTGTTTAGATATTTCACATAAACGTACCTATCTTGAAATTAAATGAACCATTCAGTCACTGAGCATTTGCTAAGTACCAACTAGCCTTCTCTATGCCAGTTATTGAACTAGGTGCTTTTTGGATGCAAAGGTGAAATTGAAATAGTCCCTGCCCTCAATGAACTTACATTGTATTAGGAGACATGTATGTATGCTAACCAGTAAAACAAAAACACTCGTCTCTTCTTCTTAGAGCTACATAAATGGGGAGGTCATAGAGTCTTGGATCAGAAATTTGAGAGAATGGGTGACCTGCGAATTTTTGGTCATTCTGTATGCTCCTTTGTGAAAGACAATGACAGCACTTGAGGTAACCCCCAGAAGCTATGGTTTCCCACATAGGTCACTGGAACAGTGAGAAAGTCCCCACACAAATGGTCTGAGTCATGGGAAAGTCTATTTGTACTATTAGCAGAGATTTTTTTCCTTTGGTCTAAGATATATGACTTCTTTCCATTACGGTTCATGAAAAAAAAAAAACAAATGATTGGCTACCATTTAATTGTTTCTCTATTGAATCTATAGATGACAATGAGAGCAAACCCAGCCCCCAAAGCTTGCCTGGGTGTATCTGTGGCTCATCAACTGTCGTCAGCATGTCTCTGGCACCCACTGAGCTAATTCAATCTGCTGCCTGCTGCTGGCGCCCCATTTGTTGCCATAAGTATATGCCAGTTTGTATTGAATGTCCTTGAAGTGATTCCTGGCCGTGTGTCATGTGTGATTGCCCTCCTGCATTCACACAATGTTGTTGGACCCAATCCAGCTGTGGCCAGTTACTGAGTGTCTGGTACCCGGTAGCCCAGTTACTGAGTGATTTCAATGCCTCCACCTTCTTTTACATATTTATTGCTTCTCTGATTAGTAAGTTAATGATAGGAGAGGTTAGGACATTAAATAAAAGTGAAATGCATATCTTTGCCTTTGGCCGACTGTGTGTAAAGCTAGTTAAAGGGTTTACTGAGAGAAAGAGTTGAAACAGATGCCTAAATGGCACTTCTTTGGAGTGGCAAAGAACTGGAAGCCAAGTAGATGCCCATTGACCAGGGATTGACTAAATGAACTAGAACGAGGCGGAGGCATAGAGCAAAGTGAATGCACCGAGAGAGGGCTATTATTCTTTCCTGATTTTAAAACCAATGAGCCCCATGATCATTGTATATTAAGTTCCCATTTCTGATCCCTCCCCTCTCTCCCCAATGAGCAGATCAAACACTTGAGGATTTTTTTTCCTCATTAGGCTTTTATGTTCCCTTGCCTAGCGTCTCCTTTCAATCAGTCACATGCAAAGCTGAAGTGGCTTTCTTAAGTTAGCAGTACTCCTTGTAATAGGTTTTCAGCATTCAGAGTAACTGGCTTGGACTCAAATATTCAAATGGATCTGTGGCCATATTTCCTTCAATTTCCTTCAATCTACTGATCTTATACTATGCTCATCCATATCCTCCCATTACTTTAACACATGGGGTCCTCCCAATCTGGTGATTCCTTTATTGCTTTGCCTTGATATCATGAGGGTGCCAGTGGGACACATGGGTTGTTCACTGGTTATTCTTAATTCTCATTCTATGTCCAGCCAATCTGCCTTTTTGCTCAGAATCTTTTTTCCTATTCTATTTCCACATCTGGTTCTCCTTTGTAATTTCTTGTTTGCAATGCATCACAGTCTACGTATATCCTGTATCACTTGTCTGTTGACCTCGAGTGGAATAAATTTTCAGTTCTTTGGAAACTGAAGTGATCTATGATGTGAAGTCATGCATCAGCTAACCTACACAGGAATCAAAGATATGTTCTTAGCTTCCATATCACCCTACCCTGATTAGTTGAGCTAACAGAACTAAATAACTCATGTGAGTGTAAATAATGTGTAATTACTCCCTCCCCAGGGTTCATATTCTTAACCCCATGGCATCAAAAAAGATTCAAAGAAATATAGAAGAAAGGAAAGGGTGTTATTTTCCTCTGCTAGGTAGATAGGCACAGGAAGCATTCTGTTTATAATGTGAAAACTAATTTCTTGGACATCCTCTACCACTACAACAAAGAACACCACCATGGTGCAGTGGAAAAACTGGCTCAAGAATCAGAATTTCTTGAGTCAGATCCTGGTTCAGTCATTTATCCTTTGTATGACCTTGAGTCAGTCACTTAAATTCTCTAGAACTTGGTTTGTCTTCTATAAAAAGATGAGGATAGTCTGGAAGGCATGACAACCAAGATTTTCTCCAGCTCAGAATCTGTGATCTATATCTAATCAGGAGGCAATAGTAGAGAGTAGACAGAAACATTGGCTTCAGAAGATCAGGGCTCTGATCTTGACTTACTGCTTACTAACTGTTTCACCAGGTGTGTGGCACTCAACCTTATAAGATCATACACTTACAGCTAGCAGGGACCTTAGAGGCCACCAAGTCTAGGCCCTTCATTTTACAGATGAGGAAACTGAGGCAGAGTGAGGGTAAGTGACTTGCCCACACAACTAGTAAGGATCTGAGATGTGATTTGAATCCACTTCCTATCCATTACAGCATACACGGCCTTCTAGACTTTGGTTTTCTTCTCTCTAGAAGGGGCAAGTATAAACCAAAGTACAAAGCAAATGTCTTCTTATTATATTATTGATCAACTTTGAGAAAATGAATATTCTATTGCCAAAAGTAGGGTCATACCAGTTCATATTTTGAGAGGGCTTTGTCATCAACATACCTCGTTCATATCCAGTCCTCACAAAACCCATGAGAAATTGGGATGATAGGAATGACTGTACAGATGAGAAAGCTGGTGCTCACGTGTATTAAATGACTTGCCCAAGACCGCTTGGCTGATGGGTGGTAGACCGAGGACTCGAACGCCAATCTTCTAACTTGATAGTCAGTGATCTTTTCATTAGCCAGGACATATCATAAGATGATTTTTCATTGTAGTTTCCATTTTGCTCTTCTCCCTGCCCTTATTTCAGATTTAACTGTCCCATCATATGTTTGTCTGTACTCCCCTAATAGAATATAAGCTCCTTGAGGGCAAGAACTATTTCATTTTTTGTCTTTGTATCACCATTGCCTAGCACAGTGCCTGACACATAGCAGTGGTATAATAAACATTTTTTGATTGATTAAATTAGATTAATTGATATGTGCAGCTTTGACAAAACTCACGCATGTTTATTTGGGATCTATGTATTAATTTAAACAAGAAAGAAGGGCCCTCAAAGATCTAGAAGCACATGGCAGAGGGCAGCTGGTGTTTTCATGAATCGAGCATAAAGAACAAGGTCTATAAAATGGAATATTCTGAAACAGGCCAGGAAATGTGCAAGCAGTTTCCTCTTTTGACAACCTTGGGTTAAGTATGTTCACTTGACCTAAGCAGCTGGCTGACACTTCCGCTATATGTTACCAGGGACTTTTCTTGGCTTCCTACTAGGACATATAATCACTGCCCAACTCCAAGATGGAGTATTTTTAGTCCTACTCATTCATATATTCCATTTACCCAAACTCAACTTTGCAAAGATCATACATACTCATACATGGGTACATATTTCAAAGGTTGTTGGTATGATGGCCTTAGCTACTACAAACCTTCCTACACCTAAGCATATCTGTGGTTGCATAATTAGTCAGCCACTGTAAAGGGCGATTAGTCAAGTACCAACGTAATTAAATCATTTGCAATACCCTTGCTAATTGCCTTCATTTAGGATGCACTAAGGTAAGCCCCAAAGTGTAGCGAGAGACAGTGTGGCATGGTGGATAGACAGCCAGGCTTAGGATGAAGAAGCCCTAGTTTTGAAGACTTGGTTTGACAAATGTGTAACTTGGAGCAAGTCACATAACCTGTAAGAACCCTGGCTTAAACAACTCTCTCAGACTATAAATCACCAAGAAGTTGTTCGTCTACATTGAGAGAAAGGTCTTTCTGTAGTGGGAGTTCCCTATGCTGATCAAATTATAGCAGAGGTTCAGACAGCCCCAAAATAGCATCCCAAATGCAGGGTCAAAAAGGATTTTATTGGAGGTATATAAACAGCCTCAGGTCACAAAGTGATTTAGTGGACCCAGTCCTAGGAGCAAGAGACTTTGCAGAAGCAAAGCTGCTAACTCCTGTAAACTCAAATATTTCAAAACTCTTGTGGGCTTCATTTTCTTCTCTTTAAAGCAGGTGGGGGAGAATGGTGAACCAGATGCCCTCTAAGATCCTTTCTCAACTCTCTTAAGGGAAATCTTTCTGGAGAGTTAAAGTCAGGAATCTAGAATGGGAGCGGGAGATCATCTGGCCCAACCTAATCATTTTATACATGAAATGAAGCAACTTGCTAAGTTCATCCTGGTAGTAAATATGTAGGAATAGGGCTACATTTATATATAGATACTACATATACATGGGTAGCTAGATTGCAGTGGATAGAGTACCAGGCCTGGAGTCAAGAAGGCTCATTTCCATGAATTCAAATCCAGCCTCAGACACTTACCAGCTGTGTGACGCAGTGTAAGTCACTTTATCCTGTTTGCCTCAGCTCCTCATCTGTAAAATGAATTGGCAAAGAAAATAGCAAACCACCCTAGAATCTGCCAAGAAAACCCCAAATGGGGTCATAAAAAGTTGGACATGACTGAAATGATTGAACAACACCATCACATATATACACCAATACACATACATATATACATGTATATACACACATTACATATACGTAAATACAAATTACATATACATTACATATATAACATAACACACATTACAAATATACAACATCCTTGTGCATATGCATATGTATATGCATATAAATATATGTATGCATAGACATAGACATCAGAACTTTGGGAATCTCAACACGGGTCTTCCAACTCCAAACAGAGCAATATCACTATTGTATTTTCCTACATCCCTAGCCTGTCACAAGGATGATGAATGATTTTGCTATCCATTGCTATGCTCTGTATCAGGAGTGCCCTCACTCCTTGGCTCTCTTCTTTTAGAGCAGAGTAGGCAGAAGCATTGCGACTTTGGTAATTTAGTGGCTCAACAGACAAAATGAGTCAAATTTGGTTCAGCATTTTCTATCCTATGAATTGTACGAATTGCATGCTTTGTCCTCAGTTTCTTCATCTGGACAATGGCGGAGGGGAGGGAGTTGGATTAGATTGTTACTGAGATCCCTTCCACCCCCAGATCTTTGGTTTAAGTATCCTTAAATAACTATCAGAATATCAGGACAATAGGAAGCCTCCCCGGCTTTTTGAATGTCCATCATTTCCAAGTCACATTTTCCCAATTTGAGAGCTTTGGTTAAATTTCTGAAGAACCCAACACTTTTTAGTATCTCATATTTTCCTCCAAACTTTAAATACCCTCTCCATTATGGTTTAAGGAAATGCCAATATTCCCGAGGAGCCCCTAACTCATCAGAATGTTATTTACAAAGGATTAGTGGGAGCAGAGGCTTTTGTAAACTTTCTTCATTCTTTCTTTATGAGTAGGGGCCAGTCTTTTCAAAAGCAAGTAAATTGGAACTACCAACAATTTTAACTTGATTGGAAATTCCAAACTTGTAAGGTTTGAGTGGGTTCCAGACATGGCAAAGTGTATTTTCCTCATCTCTGTTTACCAAGTGTGCTTCTTAGCCCTTGTCATCAGCAATGGGATTTGAAGGTGGATTAATTAAAAAAAAAATTAAAAAGACATGACTTGCCTCCAGGACTGCTGGATGCCAGAGGGAGTCTCAACATGGGCCCAAATATTACTCGATTCATTTCTTTTTCAAGAGGCAGCTCTATTGTATTAGAAACATTGCCGGATGGAGGATCAGATTTGAATCCTGACTCTTGAATCCTGGCTCTGACTCACGGAGGGACTTTGGGCAGGTCATTTCATCACTGTGAGCCTTAGATTCTTCTTCTATAAACTGGGGATAATAATGTTTGTCTTATCCAAGAGTTATCATGGGGAAAGTGCTTTGAAAACTTACAAGGGCCACACAAATCAGAGTATTTCCAGTAATTCCTTTACCTCTCCCACTTAATTTCTAGGTGCTTCAGGAATGTATTCCTTTCTTAATTGGACATTTAAAGAACCCTACTCACAGTGACATTATCCTAAATATACTCACAGAAATATCTAGCTATGAACCAGCAGCTTTGAATCATTTTCTTCCAACACTGAAGGAGATTGGTACAAGCTTTCCCAACCTGATTGGACGAATGGCAAGACTCTATGGAGCTGTTGGGCATGTGAATGAAGTAAGCACTTGCATTTTTTAATCCATAAATTCCGCTGATGATTAAACCGTTCTCTAAACTACTCTGGTCTAAGAAACCAGAAAACGGGGCTTTGAAGAGTTATGGCAGATGTTGGGTTTCATCCTAGGCAAGATTCTCTGAGGAGATACAGAAGAAAAATAATGGGAGTAGTTTTTAATAGTATAAATGGTAGCTGGGCTGGGTCAAGGAGAGGACTTTATGAATATAATTACCATAATCAGAATGGAAGGACAATTGATCTATAGAGAAGGAAGGTAACTCTGCCAATAACTCTGATGAGGGAATCTCTCTTCCCCTCCTTCTCCACCCTTCTCTCTGTCTCTCTGTCTCTGTCTCTCTCTGTCTCTGTCTCTCTCTCTCTCTCTTTTCTCTCTCTCTCTCTCTCTCTCTCTGTGTCTCTCTCTCTCCCACCCCTTCTTTTCCTTCTCCTCACATCAGTATGCTTGTTACCAGCCTATAAAAGCTGAGCTGTCTCAGTGTGACCTATGCTTTAGGAAGGAAAATAGTCATTCAATCAAAAAGTATTTCTTCAGCACTTACTCCATTCTAGACACTGGGCTAAGTAAGCACTGGAGATTCTAAGAGAGGTAAAAATAGCCCCTGACCTCAAGGAGCCTATATCTGAATAAGGAAATTCACAAATACATTAGTAGGCACATATCAGATACCTACAGAATATATGAAAGGCACTTAGAGGAAAAGGCACCAGCAGCTGTTGGGGGAATGGGGGGTGAGGGGGAAAGAGCAGTAAAGGTCTCCTGAAGAAAGTTGGATTTGAGATGAACATTGAAAAAAACCAAAGATTCTTACACACCCCTTTGTGTGTGTTCTTTGGGAGAGTGCTTTGGGCTGCTCTATTTGCCATCGGTGGTCAGAAAAAGCAACAGGAAGCCAAGGGCTCAGACACCAGTGACACTGTGGCCCTGGACCACTAACAATTACATCCTTGACAGGCACACCTTCTGAGCCCATCCTTGTATCCGCAGATGTGGCTGCACCAGATGCTGAGGGACCTTAACAGTCATCCTGTCCCACCTTCAAGAAAACTCAGACACAGCTGATACAGAAAAATATTTTATCTCATTTTTCACCTCAGTTTTGGCTAACCAGAGGGGCTTCAGCCAGTGGAAACTCAGACCTCATAGACTGCCCATTAATATTGGTCAGTCTGCAGTATTCATTTTCATCAGTTGGCTAAATGTCTAAGTATTTTACTTCTATGTTGCAAAAATTGTGTCCCCTCCAGAGAGAGAGAGACAGAGAGATAGCGAGACAGAGACAGAAACAGAGAGACAGAGAGAAGGGTGGGGAAGGGGGGGGGGAGAGTCTCTCATCAGTTATTGGCAGAGTTACCTTCCTTCTCTACAGATCAATTGTCCTTCCATTCTGATTATTTCAGAATGAAATAAATAACCACTGCTGCTTAAAGATAGTAAACTAATTATTTGTCTTAACATTATGGAACCTTTCAACAAAATCCCACCAAAGTCCAAAACTGAGCTGGGGAAACATGTTATGAGAATTAATGTCCTGCCTCCTCATTTTTTAGATGAGACATCTGAACCAGAGAGGTTTAGTCATTTGATAAAGGGCATCCAGCTGGCTAAGCCGTCAGGTATCAATGAAAGATTGAGGACCCAGGTGCCTGCAAGCTTTAACTTAAAGTCTGCATTATATTGGGACAACTTGGAACTTGTTTCTATACTAGTCTTACTTTACGGGAGGGGAGGAGAAGACAGAGAGTGATAAGCAGCTACTCCTTTCTATAGCTTTCTAGAGATTTAAATTTCTAGGTATGGCTTCAGTTAGAAAAGCAAAGCCTTTGCTCGTAGCATTAGGTCCTTCTCCTGTCCCAATAGAAGGCACAGGGCTCAATTCCAGTCCTATTTGCTCAGTGTTACCAAGGAAAGGGTGAGACTGAGGAGGGGGTTAAGGGATGGACATATATGTGGGTGTGTTAAATCACATTGCCATTCTCTCTGGACTTCAAGATTAAGTAATTAACCTAGGAAACTTTACCTAGCTGCTAATAAGTTCTAAGAAAATGTCCAAAGATCTGTCCTCTCACAAGCCTGTTGACTGTTGCCTGATATTCCAACAATGAAGATGGATTCCTTCCTTCCTTTAAGTTAAGGAATGATAAGATGCAAATATCACTGGACTGCTAACTGTTTAGACCTTAACTTAACCAAGTTTAAGAAATCTATTCTTTGGCATTGCTATCTTAACCTCTTAGTTATCAGGGTGCCACCAGTGTTAGCATCAATCCTGTGCCTCCTTCTTCCTTTACCCAGCAGTATGTCTGGAGGGCAGTGCTGTTTGTATTCTCTTGTAGAGTTCCAAAGACCCATGATCTCATCAATTAGGGCATAGTTTTCAACCTTTTTTTGTTCCTGACACCTTTCAATAATAATAAAAGCAATGAGTTGTAAACCCCCAGAGTCATTTATTATGGTCTTTAAAGTTCCATTCATTGAGTACCAGAACTAAAATGATGATTTTTTTTGGCACCAAAATCTCCAAATTAAAATTTACATCATATAAGCATAATATTAAATTAAAATTTTATTCTACCTATAATTATGAAAACTAAAATTATAAAATAGTTACAAATATTTTGTGGGACATTCTGTAAGAAAGGAAAGAAGCAATCCAGCAAGACAACATATGCTCACTATTATCTGCAAGATTTCATATTAAATTTTTTTATTTTACAAAAATTTTAGTAAAATAAGTTACAACTTGGAAGATGTTTAACATAGTCCAATAAGGATGTCAGACTTTTTTATTTGAACAAAAATTTGCTATCTGACACTCAAAGCTAGGCAAACATAGTCTTAAATCTGATTCTGGATTGAGTTTCTATATTTCATTTTGAAACAAGAATGAGGTGAAAATACTTGCTTATGCAAACATGGTAGAAAATGGTGGGAAAATTTTATCAGCTCTTCTGCTGAGATAGAAAAATTATTTTTTTTTTCTAATTTTAGAGACCTAACCAATCAATGAAAATGAATAGCTCATAATATAAATATATAAATAAAATATATAATATGCATTATATATGTGTAATATATAAATAATATAAAATATAGACTTCTCTACTGGCTGACAAGTGCTATGTTAAATGACAAACGTACTTAAAGTTCAATTGCATATGTTGCTTCATATTTAAACAATGTTTATATACAGGGCATTCTAAAAGTCTTAGTTTAGTTTTAATCTATTAAAGTTTAAAACCTCACTAAGACTTTTGGAGCACCCTTTCAGGCTTGTGCTCCTCATGTTGTATGTATCCTTTGAGAGAGTCTTTTGGGCTGGTCTGTTTGCTGTTGGAGTTCAGAAAGCGTGACAGGAAGCCAAGGGCACAGATATCAATGGCATAAATTAACTTTTGTAAGGGAAAAATTTCTATAGATGTGGCTTTCTTTTCTCACTGGTACACTGGCTACGCTCTCAGAAAATTGACTGAACAATTTGCCAATGCTGCTAAGAAATTCATTTGGAAATCTGCCAGACTGAAGAATAGTAACATAACCAAATAATAAGTTTTAATTGGAAAATAGTCTTAATAGTTTAATGAGAAGCAATTTAAAGTTTGTTTCTACAGAGCATTTGTGATTGTCAATGATCATTTCAAGATGGATTGTAATGTGTGTACCCAACAATCATGGTTTTCAAAGAGCTTGATATTTGCACTGCAAGAATGCAAATGTTTGTAACATTTTGATCATATGATTATACAGCCAATAAGTTATGATTACAGGGTAATGAGGGAATGAGGAAGGTACTCTGTTGCAGTCTATAGAAGACAGCTAAAAGTAGGCATATGTATCTGACCATCAGTTGGGAATCAGTTTGTGCTCCAATGTTGAACTTTGGGCGGATGGGAGGGGTGGGGTTGGGGAGGGATTTGGAAACAATTTGATGACAGGTTGAGAAACTGCAAGAATGCATTGCACTTAGAAGGGGTCAGAATTTGATGTAATCACTTCATGAACACCAACATCATTGTGCGCATTATTTTGATGATGTTGAGTTGCTGCAGAAACAAACCTGTAATGCTTCAAACATGTCCATGCCTATTGTCACAGAGGAAAAATAGATTTGTAACATAATCAGAAAAAATATATTTGTAACAATTATTACTTCAGGTGAAGAATTGTTGGTGTAAATTCTTTGGACCATTAACATTCATGAACCACTATATATGAACCACTGAATTAGCATTTTGCCTCAAAGATGCAGATTACCATGCTCCCTTGCCTGCCCAAACTGTGTGACTTCTGCCCATGTTCTCCCGTATTAGTGGCTAAGTTAATGCCAAGTCAAGTCAAGAAGCATTTATTAAGTATTTTCTATGTGCCAGGCACTATGCAACATGCTAAGGATCCAAAGAAAAGTGAAAGTCCTTTCTCTCAAGAAATTCACAGTCAAATGGGGGAAACAACAAGCAAACAGCTATATACAAACAAAATACATACAAGGTAAATGAAAGGTAATCTCAGAGGGAAGGCAGTAGTGAAGGGAGAAGGGGGATTTTAGTAAAGAACTCTTGCAGACAATGGTATTTGACCTGAGTCTTGAAGGAATCCAGGGAAGCCAGGAGACAGAGGTGAGAAAGGAGAGCCTTCCAGGCATAGGATATGGCCAGTCAAAGGTGTGGAATCAGGAGATGGAGTAGGAGGAAGAGCAAAAGGTTAGTGTCACTGTATCATAGAATACAAAGAGGGATGGGGAGGAGAGAAATAATGCTTAAGAAAGGTAGAGAGGAGCCAGGTTATGGAAGACTTCAAAAGTCAAACATGATTTTACATTTGATCCCAGAGGTAATAGAAAGCCACTGGAATTTACCAGATAAGGGAGTAATATGGCCAGACCTATGTTTTAGGAGTGTCACTTTGACAGCTGAAAGGAGGTTAGACTGAAGTGAGGAGAGATTTGGGGCAGGGAGACCAACCAGAAGGCTATTGCAACAG